GGGGGGGCGTTTGGGGGGGGGTTAAAGACAGCAAAACCCCAGTATTCTGCTTAAAACTACCCAGTGCAAACAAACAGAGACGTGACTTATACCTCACGACTGGGACATTTTGTTTTTAAGAGCAAGGTCCCAGCCAAGCTAGACTGAAATGCATGGGGGGTGGGGGGGGGGCAGTATCCCTAAAATAACCCTAATCACCAAACAATGAGAGACACAAGGCTGGAGATGTTTAGCAGTGTGACTCTCTACAGCCATCATCACAGTCTCACGGGGTTCGGTCCGTTCGTCCTCGTCGCCTGAGTGGCAGCTGGGGTACATGAGAGGAGATGTCGGCCACTTACCTGGGTCACCGTGGGTCATGCCCTCCGAGAGACGCTAGGACTCTGGTCACGCTCGTTTGTTCTCTCCGTTCGGCTCGCACACGCTTACATGTACACATACACACACACACACACACACACGTGCAAGAAAACGGCCTCAAGCTAAGGAGATCAACCTCCACAGTGAGATTTGGTTAAGATCCTGTGGAGAGGAGAGGAGAGAGAGAGAGAGAGAGACAGACAGAGAGAGTGAGAGAGAGATAGAGAGAGAGAGAGAGAGAGAGAGAGGGAGGTTAGAATCCACATTCTCAGGTCCAGTGTTTAAAAACATCTTCCACGGAAAGGTATCACTGACAGGGTGGAACCGGAGTTTGGGACCACGTCATTCAGGACCGGAGGTCCGTCTCAGTCCACAGAACATGTGGATCCTGTTCCTCCATCCCTGGGCTGGGACCTGAGCAGCCAAGCCTGGAGGAGTCTGCATCAGGCCGATCTGCCCGTGCAGTACAGACACGCCGTACAGCTACGGTCCACAGGGACAGGGACAGGGTGGCACTCGTAGTCGCCTGAGTGTGGAATTCTCCGGAAAGCCTCTCGGACGTGTCATTTTAGAAGACATGGAGGCTTCACACAAGGAGAGACGTTCACACCTGGCACCTCTCCCCAGAGACGTGCCTGACGGCGCCCCCTGTTGAGCAGGCTCTGACAGCGACGCGCGTGCCCAGAGGAGCCACCCCTGCACTTTGTGATCCCCCAACCCCACAGACGGCACCTTGCTGAAGCCCCACAGCTCGGCGTGCTGCGCGGCGATCAAAAGCCAATCGCGTGCAGCAGAGCACCACTTAGAGCGTCGGCCACGCGGGAGCTCCGCCCCCCGCTACGTGTCATTCAGTCTGCAGCTTATTTTAATGCTCCGGGCCTTTTCAGGCGGGAGCGTTTCCCTCTGTCAACAAAAGGCATAAAGGATCCTGGCTCTCCCCCCCTCCACCATTAAGCCGGGATGAGGCTCTCAGGCACGTCCATCAATCACCAAGGAGAACAAAGCACTCGCACTGCCTGCTGCGGGGGGGTCAGCAGGACACGCTCCTCCTGCATGCGGGCTGGGGCCAGAGACGTGCTCCACAGTGCCACACTCTGTACTGGTCCCCACGGCGGACACTCGCATTCCCCCCCTCAAGTATAAGGCTGAATCTGAATGGAGCAGGAGGACTGATGAGCTGGAGAGCCAGACGGCGGCATGTCAGATAGGTAAAGCGGGAAGGGGGGAGGGGCAGGGGACGTGGGGAACGGGCAGGCGAATGGGCAGGGGACGTGGGGGACGGGCAGGCGAATGGGCAGGGGACGTGGGGGACGGGCAGGC